AGAACACAGACCCAAACTTATGCTAGAACGAAAACTGGGTGGCACTCGATGTATCAAAAGGGCTTTTTCCTCTAAAAAAAAGGGGAGGAGTAGATGAAAAAATAGAAAGAGACAGGCGCCCCTTTCCCCGGGGGCGAGGGAAAAGAATAACAAGGGGCAAAAAAGAGGTAATATATCAAAAATGCGCGGGGAGAAACTGGTCAGAGAAATAGAAAGCATCGAACTTAAGCAAAAAGAACCCTTTTAGGGGGCGGGGAATGCGGGAAAACAAAAGCCATAAATAAATCGAAAAAAACCCCCAAAGTATTTTTTCTCCTATGCCAAAATCAAATCGAAACAACGCCCCAGTATTGGGCCCCTATTAAACAAGAGGGCCCTACCAGATGACAGCAAGAAATGGTAGTACTAAATCCCAATATGACTAGTTTTTAGAAAGCCGCTACCAGACTGGAGTCGAAATCAAAATGAATTTTTTATGAGAGAGCCAAAAAATTTGATTAACCAAGCCTATCCGATTTTTCCTGACGCCAAATGACTTCGAACAGGCGATAAATGCATGCCCAGCAATCTGCCCCAGGGCCAGACTCATGGAACCTTGTTCATCGAACTGCAAGAAGCCCCTATCACGAGCCTTTTCCATCCTATGGAGGGAGCAGGACCGGGGGTCCCCTCAGTTACAAAAAACAACAGACATACCCCCACCCACAAGGGGCAGTAAAGCAAAAGCAAAGAACCGACCAAAAGCATAACATCCCCAAACATAAAATCTTGAAAGGGTCCTAAGAAGCAAGATCACCACCCATCTAGAACCCATCATTAAAACAACCCAGGGCAACATGGGTTTAGAACAGGTCGCTCCTTCGTTCAACTACTGGACACTACGAAAGGTCCTAAATGCCTAAAGGGCCCAAAAAAAATGCAGATGTAATATATACGACTTTGCAAAAGCCTTCGACAAGGGACCATGGCGTAATAGCACACAAAAAGCGCTAAAGGAAAAACAGGAAAAATCGGCGTGGGTCTAAATTTCCCACTAACAAAACAAGAGTAGTCGTCAAAGAGTAAATCCGGGGACTACGGGAAAAGCTCTGTTCCCAAAAAGGGACGTATAGCTCCCAACTTTTCCTCATCCTCTATCGACATAGACAAGGATGTCACCACAGCACCCTGTCTTCCTTTTCAGATGACACCCAATCTCCCGACAGTGTCTTCCATTTCAGACACTGAAGGCTTCAGGGGGACAACAACAAAACTTTCAGTGGGGTGCGAAAACAAATGAATTCAAAGATGAGAAATTTTAATTACTCAGATATGGTAAACATGAGGAAATTTAAAACTTCATCAGAGTACAAAAAAAAATTCTGGGCCCCAAAAAGAGCGAAAAACCAACGTCAAAGCCCGGGATGATTATGGGCGGGGATCCACCTTAAGACCATAACATTTTTCAATCGCATCGCTAAAAAATGACAGGATGGATAAAGAAACCTTTTAAAACTAGGGAGGCCCAACCCATGATGACACTCTTTAGGGCACTTTTTCTATCTAGGCTGGAATATTGCTGCACTCTAACAGCACCTTTTAAGCAGGTGAAATTGCCGACATAGAAAATGTACAAGAACTTTCAGGCGCGCATAACGGAGATAAAAAACCTCAATTACGGGAGCGCTTGAGGTTTTCTAAACCTGTATTCCCCGAAAGCAGGGGGGGAGATACATGATTTTATACACCTGGGAAAACCTAGAGGGACTATACCCAACTTGCAACGAAAATCACTCACTTCGAAAGCAAAAGACTTGGCGACGATGCACCATCCCCCCAATGAAAAAACGGGGTGTCATAGCACTTTTTGAGACCATACAAAAATTTTCAGGGGCCCGACTGTTCAACGCCTCCCCGCAAAATAAGGGGGATTCCCCAAAAGACCCTTTGGGAGTCTTCAAGTGGCACTGGAAAGCACCTAAAATCTTCCTGATCAGCCGGCTGTGGGTCGACTTGGCTTGCGTGCAGCCAGCAGAACAGCCTGGTTGACAGGCGCGATCCCCAGGAGCCTGGGCACAGACCGGGGCCCCGGGGGGGTTTGACCCCCGAAAATCCTCCAGGTAAACTCCAGGTAAACACACCTGCTGAACATGGTGGGGAGTGTTTTCCCCCTGGGGACACACCTGCTGACACAGTGCCACACCTGCGACACATGGGTGGGCAGTGTTTTTCCTCCCTGGAGACACACCTGCTGACCTTGTGCTACACACCGGGGGACACATGGCGGGCAGTGGGTTCCCCCCGGAGACAGACCTGCTGACACTAGTGGGGGGTACACACCGGGTACCCATGGCGGGCGTGGTGTTCCCCCGGAGACACACCTGCTGCATAGTGCTCACACCCGCTACACTATTTCCCACACCCCGCTGCACATGGCTGGGCACTGTTTTTCCTCCCTGGAGACACACCTGCTGACACTATGCTACGCACCTGCTACACTAGTCTTACACCCGCTGACACTATGCTACCACCTCTGAACTGGCTGGGTATGTTGTTCCCTTTCCCGGAGACCATCGCTGCACTATGCTCCACCGTGACATAGTGCTACCACCGCGACACTAGTACACACACCCGCGACACATAATGGGCAGTGTTTTTCGTCCCGGGGAAAACACCTGCTGACACTAGTGCTACACACCTGCTGACACATGGCTGGGCAGGATGTTCCCCCCTGGAGATACACCTGCCACTATGCTACTCCCTGATGACACGTAGCTTGGCAGTGTTGTTCCCCCAGGGGTGCCCTCTGCACTATGCTACACACCTGCTGACACAAGCCTGGGGATTGTTTTTTCTTCCCTGGAACACAG